GCCGTTGTGCTGTGCTGCACCTGCGGTTTTCCTGTTACGGAAGCTTGGGATTGGAGTGATTTTCTTGTAAGTACAAGTAATAAACACAACTGTGAGAAAGTCGCTTCTGATTCTTTTGATGGAATAAAGTGTGCGGATAGGAAAAATTGGGAAAATAAGTTGTTAACGGAGTGTACGAAGAACCGTACAGGTATTGTTGAAGGAGAAAAATGTTCGGATTGGTTATTATCTGAAAGGGCTAGGGAATTAATGAAATCATCCAGTGAAAAAAAGAACAATGAAATGACGGGACTGCCAACAACAATAATTCTTAAACAGCAAGAAAATGAGGCCCATTCACAGGATCCTTCAGCAAACTCGGACAATACACGAGAAGGTAGCTCAGAAAGCCACACAAATGCAACTACAACACAAACTAAAGCGATTGCACCTGCCAATGACAATCCTTCCCCGAATACAACTGCACAGAGTTCCGGACACAGTGATGTTAATTCCGTTACCCAACCCACTGCAGCTGCAGGTATAACTCAGAACAACAATTCAGCAAACGCGGACACCAACAATGCAAATACACCCAATAATGAGGAATTGACCACCACCACCACCACCACAACAACAACAACAAGACTTCCTCCTGTACCCGACTCACAGATCAGCAACACCATCGCTTCCACTGTACTGAGGAACAAGGCTAATGTTGACAGCAGTCTCTGTCCTGTGTGGATCCGCACTGCAGCACCGCTGCTGGTTGTGATTGTGTTGGTCTCCGTTACTGTGTACTGAACGGTGAGACTCACTTGAGGACAAATAATAATAATGGTTAATACTAATATAACCATAATTGCGTACATCCCTCATGGGTGAATAAACTAATAATCTGTTTACCAGCTTTCTCCTTCAATTGGAATATCTTTTCTTTTACTTTTTTTTTTATGTATGTGTGTGTGTTCTTTTTCTAATAATTCCATTACTTGCTTTTACTGTTGTGTGTGTGTGTGTAGAAAACTGGGCTGTTCTGCTCACTGACGGTATACATCTCTTGCTAGTACACAGATGTGTGTGCAGTAATTTAATACATAAACTAGAGCCATGGAGTATTGTGTGTGTTTGGCTCTCTCTTTCTTATTTGGGTATTGTGGGGTGTTCTCTTATTTCTATTAAGGGGTACATATTATCATGCAAGTGGGCTATTCTTTTTTGTTGCTTTTTTGTGCAGTTGCTGCTTCTCTCTCTATCTCACTATGAGTATTTGTGCCCTGCATCCACTCTCTCTGTATCTATCTCTCCTTCTCTCT